AGACAGCAAGTTTCAGCTGACTTTTCGACCTTTAGTCGTCGTCTGGTTATCAAACTCTCCATTTTTTGAACGTGAAGGAAAATCCCTTTTTTTTTCTTATTGTACGCTTTTTGGGTCTTTCATTTAATGTTAAGAATAATACTGCGTGGCAGTAAGAACCCGGCAGTAACGCGTAGAAGAATTCTGAGCCACCAGAGAGTTTTTTTTCTTTTTCTTCCGTTAAACGGTGATTATAGATCAATATAATATGATCCTATCGCTCGGGAAAAACAGGGCACCAGCTCGAAAAGTGACTGGAATAATTACGCTGGGGCTGCAGTTTTGCCGATTGGGGCTGAGGAGAGGAAGGGGCGGGGGAGGGCGGAGGTGGAAGGGTTCTTTGCTTTTTCGGACAAATTTTAGGTAAGTCATTTCGTTTCTAACACACGAGAGTAGCACTCTTCAATTGTGATGCAGTAAGTTAACTTTTCTTTGACATTTAGTTTCTACACCAGTCAACATGTCTTCCTTATTCCTCAGTGAGTCAGTCAGCACGTTTTCCAGATCCTCTTGTGATCATCATATAGTGGGCCTGTCAGCACATCTTCCGAATCCTCCTGCTGCCCTGAATTCACGAAAGGATGCTTATTTTCTCTCGTAGACAGACCATCGAGATTGCTCACCTTCGCGAACTTTCGAAGATTTTCGCGTATCTGGCAGGTCGGTGCGCGGTTGCGACTCGTTATGGTGTGTGTTCGAGAACATGAGAGGAGTGGCAGCTCAGATGCGCAACTGATTAGGAGCTGTTCCCGGAAACAGCCTGTCCCCACATCAGTGACTCAACGTTTCTTCGAATAAACGATCTGTATTTCGCGTGGACCCAAGGACACAACATTTTCAAATTAATATCGGTACGCGCCAGAGTTGCTGGTGCAATCACGCGCTTTTGCGGAAACCTTGAAGCAATCAGATCGTTAACAGTATGAATGGTCGTTGCTTCACTTTGCAAAATGTGCACTCATGTTGGCAACGTTTTTGGTCATTTGGCTAACAACTGAGACGATGCAGTCATCGTGCGTGATATTTCATTCTTCGTTTTCTCTTTACTCAAGTCTTATACGATTTGACACATGCTCTTTCATGGCAGGTAGGAGGCTGTACTGATGATTCCCACTCCAATCCGCATTCGCTCTGTGTTTATAGCTAAGGGATGAAACAGACTGCATCCAAACGTTTCTTTTGCACATGATACTTATCCTTCATCTACTTGATTATTTTATCACGATCACCAATAAGAGATGCTAATAATTTTACATGCTCAACCTTGCCGTGTACGCTCACAAAGCGTAGGCGTTAGTGAAAGATGATATTACAAACTTAGTGTCGCACAAAATATGCAAGCATTCTTGTAAAATTTCCTATCTGCTTGACTGCCAAGCGAGGAGGATAGTGAAACTGCTGCACTGTGAACGTTTGGCTCGTCAGTGTGCAAGACTGGTTTAAACAAAAGTTTATGGCTGCAACGAACTTGAGGATGCAAGGTAATCGGCAACCTCTCTTAATAGTAAGTTGAAAGTCCGCCTTGCCTAACGCAAGATCTAGCTTGCCATCCAGTTGAGTTGAAGGAATTTAATACATGGCTAGCAAATATCCTCGTAAAATTTCAGCTTCATAGCTTGACTGTTTTCATAAATTGTTTCTTCGCTGCAAATATATTTGTCGTACCCGTGTGCGCGATACATGCGTACGGGAAAATAGTATGAAATATGTGATTCTAATTATAAAATCATATAATATTTTTCTTCATTTTCCTTTAACCTATGACCATGTGTGTTTACAATTTTCCTTCACTTTTGTCCTACCCTTTTTTTCACTTCTAAAAAAGCCTCGTTCTCCATTTATCTTGTTGGGTTTACTGGCTAAGCGGCTCCTCGGCCTCACTCCGCACTCTCTTCGTCACTCGCT